TGAGTTCAATTCCCAGCACATGGCAGTTCACAGCTGTCTGTAACTCCAGTTCCAGGGAATCTGGTACCCTCCCCCACACACATACATGCAGACAAACCACCAATGCACATAAAAACAAATCATTAAATTTCCTTTTTTTTTTTTAAACTGACAGTGGTGGCTCACACCTTCAATCCCAGTGGTGGTGCACTCCTTTAAATCCAGCACTCGGGATGCAGAGGCAGGTGGATCTCAGTGAGTTCGTAGGCCAGCCTGGTCTACAGAGCTAGAATTTTAAAAGGATTTATTTTTATTATTTTAAGGTGTGTGTATGTGTGTGGGCATGCTGTATGCACAGAGTACTGGTGGCTTTGGAAGCCAAAAGGTATGAGATTCCCCTGGGAACAGGAGTTATAGGCAGTTGTTAGCTGTCTGATGTAGGTTCTGGGAACCAATCTTGGGTCCTCTGTAAGAGCAGTGTGCACTCTTATTTCTTTATGAGAGCTCTATTTGCATGTATGCCTGCATGACAGAAGAGGCCATCAGATCCTATTGGAGATGGTTGTGAGCCACGATGTGGGTGCTGGGAATTGAACTCAGGACCTCTGGAAGAGCAGCCAGTGCTCTTAACCCCTGAGCCATCTCTCCAGCCCTTGCACTCTTAATTACTGAGCCATCTCTCCAGGCTTGCCACCTGAACTTTTGGGTGAACATGAGTCAGGCCTCCTCTCTCTCCATGATTGACTTTCACAGCCGTCCCCACCCAGGGGCTGTATGTGACAGGTTGTCTCTTCGGGCTTCTTGTCTTGTGATTGGTCCTTGTTTTCTGGTCCCCAGAGGAGCTCAGTCTTAACCAATAGGCTCCCTCTGGAGAAGGCACCTGGCCAAGGCCCCTTGGGTTATGATAAAGATAGATTGGACCCCCCTCTCAAATGCTGACCACTGTATCATGCACAAGCAATCACTACCTCACCAAACCCTCCAACTGGAGGCTTTCAAGGGTGTGGGCTCGTGGGTAGGACTACCAGGCTGCTCTTCACCAGAACCCATCCAGCTTGTCTCTTAACTTAGGCTTTTTTCCCCTTCCATTGCCAGGAGCTACAGCTGGCTTGCTTTATGATTGCCACAGCATTTATAGGCTTTGGGATAGAGTCTATTCTGCATCATTCTGATTCCTTACATTCACTGCAAAGCAACCTTAAACATTTTTTTTTTCGAGACAGGCCCTGGCTGTTCTTGAACTCACTCCGTAGCCCAAGCTGGCCTTGAACTCACAGAGATCCCCCTGTCTCTGCCTCCTGAGTGCTGGGATTAAAGACATGTGCCACCACCACCCGGCTTTATTTTTAAGATAATTTTAACATAATTTTTTTTACCGATTCTTAGGGAATTTCACGTCATGCACCCCAGTCCCGCTCACCTTCAGTCCCTCCATATCCTTCCCTCACCACTGCAGTCCCTCCCAAAAAAAAAAAACGAAAATCAATAAAAAACAAAACAAAACACAAAAAAAATCCACCTCGCTCTTCATCTTTCCAACCCCTCTTCATTCATCCTGGTGGCCCTGGGAGCTGCGGTGTGTCAGGAAGTAGACCTTTTTGTCCAATCAGCCCCACCCACCAATGTTCATTGCAATGAGTCATTGGTCCGGTTCAAGACCTCTGGTACACCATCATCACTGGCCCCTCACCGAAACGCCTCTCGGACATCCCTGCTGTTGGCCCGAGTCGTGGAGATCCTGTGGTTATCGTTCTGCAGGACCAGTCCTTTCCCGCAGTCCATCATAGATGGGGTAGACATTAGGGTGGACCAATAGAAGGCCTAGGATGTGGGTCTGGGTGGTAGCTGAGCTGGTCCGTCCAGGCCACTGGGACCACCCCTCCTAGGCCCATGCCATAGGGGCCAGCTCTCCCACACCAGTGGTGTGGTGTGGGGCCATCTCTCCGGAGTGCAGGGGGCCAGCTATCCCAGGGCCAATGAGGGGCGGGGCCGGCTCAGCATGGCCCTCAGATTTCAACAGGCATGGTTCCTGTGAACCCCTGTGGCATCATCACAGACCCCAGCTGCAGCAGGACCACGGACCCAGACATGGTCCTCAGCAGCACCTCAGGCCCAGACGTCACTGTGGCCCCAGTGGCAGCATAGGCCACCCAGACCAGTATGGCGTTGACGGCAGCAAGGCCCTCAGACACCAACATGGTCTCAGGTGGCTGTCCAGATCCCAGGCATCCACAGCCCTCAGTGGCAATAGAAGTCACAGATATCGGGCTGGAGAGATGGCTCAGTGGTTAAGGGCACTGGCTGCTCTTCCTAAAGGTCCTGAGTTCAAGTCCCAGCAACCACGGGGTGGTTCACAACCATCTGTAATGAGATCTGGTGCCCTCTTCTGGCCAGCAGACATACATGCAGACAGGAAATTGTATACATAATAAATAAATAAATCTTTAAAAAAAAAAAAGAAGTCACAGATATCAACCCAGGTGGTGGCCCAAACCCTCGGCACTGCCCTTGATGGTACCAGGAGCTACTGATACCAACACAGACCCTGGCTGCGGTAGGGCCACAGACCCAGACATGGCCTTCGCCAGCAGTCCAGGCCAGCAGGCCACTCAGATCGGCATGGCCCCCTCGGCAGGCTGTGTGGTATTTAAAAGCAGATCTTCGTGCTGGGTTTGCTTCCCCAGTTCCCAACATACTAGCCATTCAGAGGTGTACAAACTGAGAAGTCTCTGGACTGCGTGGGAACCTGTCCAGTGTACAGCTTGCAAAGCTATGTGTGGCCATCAGAGGCTCCTGCTATGCACAAAGAGGTAGCTTCTAAGGAGAAGACAGCTGTCCGCATCTGACACTTGACCAATATAGACTTGGTACCAACCTAAACGAGAAGAAAGGAGGACACTCCAAAGCATCGACCACCCACCTGTCCGCCTGCAGACTCCAATATTAGAGGACCTGGAAGAACTCCACCGGTGCTTTCTCTTTTACCACCCCGCTTCTTCTTTTCTTTTCTTTTATTTTATTTGAGACAGGCTTTCTCTGTGCAACTTTGAAGTGCTGGATTAAAGGCGTGCGCCACCACCGCCCGTTGTTATTATTATTATTATTATTTTGCTTCTTATATTTTTCTTTGTTTCCATGATTTTATATCATTTTTATTTCATATTTTAGTCTTTTATGTTTTTATTTGTATTCATCTTCTTACATCCATCTAATTTGTTTACATAATTTTCCCTTTGCTATGCTATTTTTTTTTTTTTTTTTTTTTGCACTGGAGATTGTAAATTCGATCTCATTCAAGCCTAAATTGGACTGCTCACATGCTTGGTCAGCTCTCCACTACTGAGGTATAGAGTCACTTTTTTATGTTTTTCTTTTCGAGACAGGGTCTTGCTAAGTTGCCCAGGCTGGACTTGAATTCACTCTCTAGGTTTGGAAGGCCGTGAACTTGTCATCTTCCTGCAGAGCACTTGATTTCAGCTGCCTCATTCCTGCCTCAAGGCTGAAAGGGAAGGGCTTACAGGCCTGCGCTGCCAAGTCTGGCTGCTATCATGCCCTTCAATTTCTTTCTCTTTTCTCTCTCTGTTCATTACCTTATTCTTTTTCATTTAACCTTGCTTCCAGAACCTGTGCTTTTTCCTGTCTCCTTCCTTTATTTCATTCATTTACTACTTTTACTTTTACCCCAAGTAACAACTTCTTCTTCTTCTTCTTCTTCTTCTTCTTCTTCTTCTTCTTCTTCTTCTTCTTCTTCTCCTCCTCCTCCTCCTCCTCCTCCTCCTCCTCCTCCTCCTCCTCCTTCTTCTTTTTGTTTTTGTTTTTTTTTTGATTTTTTCGAGACAGGGTTTCTCTGTGTAGCTCTGGCTGTTCTGGAACTCACTTTGTAGGACAGGCTGGCCTTGAACTCGCAGAGATCCGCCTGCCTCTGCCTCCTTGGGATTAAAGGTGTGTGCCACCACTGCCTGGCTCCCAAGTAACTTTTAAAGTTTAGTATAGTCTCCATTGTCTTTTTTGTCCAGTGGTTGGCGGTGGTATAGTAACTGACTTTACACAGTTTTGATTGTATTTCTGTATCTTCTCTGGTCTGGTGTTACTACCCTAGTGATCCTCTCCTTTCTGAATAGTGTTTGGGATTGAGTCCTCCAGAAATGACCACTAAAGAGTAAAAGGACTTGTCATGAAAGCCTGACCACTTGAGTCCAGTCCCTGGAACTCACAGTAGAGATAACTAGTTCTCGACAGCTGTCCTGTGATACCCACAGGTGCTCTGTACACACACACACACACACACACACACACACACACACACACACACACACACACAAACACAGATTATAAAGAAATTTTTAAAAAGAAAAAGGTGTGAGCATGATGACTCACGCCTTTAATCCCAGCACTTGGGAGACAGAAGCAGGCAGGTCCAAAACCAGCCTGGTCTACAAAGTGAGTTCCAGGACAGCAGGAGTGTTACACAGTGAGACACCCCTCACCCCGGAAAAAAAAGTATAGAACTTTTGAGGTGAATTTTTTTTGATTTTTTTTAAATTTTTTTATTTTTATTTTGCAATACAATTCAGTTCTACATATCAGCCACGGATTCCCTTGTTCTCCCCCCTCCTGCCCCCCTCACCTTCCCCCCATCCCACCCCCCATTCGCACCTCCTCCAGGGCAAAGCCTCCCCGAGGACTGAGATCAACCTGGTAGACCCAGTCCAGACAGGTCCAGTCCCCTCCTCCCAGGCCGAGCCAAGCGATCCTGCATAGGCCCCAGGTTTCAAACAGCCGACTCATGCAATGAGCACAGGACCCGGTCCCACTGCCTGGATGCCTCCCAAACAGATCAAGCCAATCAACTGTCTCACCCATTCAGAGGGCCTGCAGAAATCCACAAAGAATTTTTTTTAAAGTAGAGTCTCAAAAACCAAACCAAACCAAACAAACAACAAAGACTTCTAAGAAGATTCCCCAAGTAAAACTAGATGAGATATCCATACCAACAGATGTACAAAGTACAACTCTCAAACATGGGGACCATGAAAATGCAAGGCAGCCTGACACCTCCAGAAGGTAACTCAATTGCCATATCCAAAAGCACTGTATTTGTTGAAGCCAAAGAATTCAAAAGTCTGCTCATAAAAATGATCAGTGACTGGGGCTGGAGAGATAGTTGGATTCCCAGCACCCACATGGTGGCTCACACCACCTGTAACTCCAGTTCCAGGGAATTTGATGCCTTCTTCTGGTCTCTGAGGCACGCAGAAGTAGTTTCTGGTTTTTCATCTGCACTGTGAAGACTGGGTTGTTGGATGGCAAACATGTGGTCTTTGGGAAAATGAAAGAAGGCATGAGCATTGTGAAAGCCACGGGGCACTTGGGGTCCACGAAGAAGATCACCACGGTCGACCATGGACACCTCTAATGCTTTTGGGTTGCGTTTATCTAAACCACTAGACAATTTCTTCCCTAGCTCAGGAGAGCACCTTTGCCCCATCTCACAATATCCAATAATCTTGGTGTTTTAACTGCAGTTTTTTGGAGATATTTTCATTATTCACCTCCAAGTCTAGCTGGAATGCAGAGTTAAGCTTATGATTATAAATAAAAACTAAGGAAAAACAGGATACGAAATCAACATAAAAATCTGTTGCTTTTCTATACATCAATAACAAGCATGTTTAGAAAGGAATCCGAAAAATTCTCATTGATAATAGTTTCAAAAACTAATAAAGTACTTATGAATAAATCTAATTAGGTAATGAAAGATAGTACAATGAAAACTTCAAAACATTACAGAGAGGAATTAAAGAAAACAATAGAAAGCTGGGCAGTGACAGCACACACCTTTAATCCCAGCACTCGGGAGGCAGAGGCAGAGGCAGGTAGATCTCTGTGAGTTCGAGGCCAGCCTGGTCTACAGAGCGAGATCCAGGACAGGCGCAAAGCTACACAGAGAAACCCTGTCTCGAAAAACCAAAACAAAAGGTACATTGAGATTGCATCTTACTCCAGTTGGAATGGCTACCTATCAAGCAAACAAATAACAACGAATGCTGCCAAGGGTGCTTGTTTTCTTTTTCTTTTTCTTTTCTGGTTTTTCGAGACAGGGTTTCTCTGTGTAGTTTCGGTGCCTGTCCTGGATCTCGCTCTCTAGACCAGGCTGACCTCGAACTCACAGATCTGCCTGCCTCTGCCTCCCAAGTGCTGGGATTGAAGATGTGCACCACCACTGCCTGTCTCTTTTTTTTCTTTTTCTTTTCTCCTCTTTCTTTATATCTATCTATCTATCTATCTATTTATGTTTATCTATCTATTTATTTATTTGTTTTGTTTTTTGAGACAAGGTTTTTCTGTGTAACAGCTCTGGATCTCGCTCTATAGACTGACTAGCCTACGAACTCACAGATCTCTGCCTGGCTCTGCCTCCCAAGTGCTGGGATTAAAAGTGTGTGCCACAGCCTGGCAAGTGGTCTATAACCTCTACTCAATGCTAGCAGAAATGTAAACTAGTGTAGCCACTATAGAGGTCCTACAAAAGTAAAAGTAGATCTACCTTGTGACCCGGGTATAGGACTCTAGGTTATGGTGTATACCCAAAGGAACCTAAATCAGCATACCACAGAGTATGTTTATTGTGGCACTATTTGCAAAAGCTGAGATATAGAACCAACCTAGATGCCTGTTGACAGATGAATGACTAAAAAAAATGTGGTACATACATAATGGAGTTGGGTTTTTCCCAACCATAAAGAAGAGTAAAACTACATCATTTGCAGGAGCTAAAGAACACCATTCTAAATAAAATAAGTCAGCTATCACATATTCTCTCTCACCTACAGAACGTAGATTTAAATTTTCTGTATGTATACATACGGCCTTTATCCTCCAGGTCTTCTCTTGTGACTCTTGGGTAACCTGGATTTGTGTGTGTGTGTGTGTGTGTGTGTGTGTGTGTGTGTGTGTGTGTGTGTGTGTTGTAAGTGCATGTGTGCATGCAGGTGCAGGTGCAAACCAGAATTGACATCAAATGTCTTCTTCTGTTACTCTCTCTTTTTTTTTGAGATACTGTGTTTAATATACATGCTTACACTCCCAACCTGTGTGAGAAGGTCATTCTCCAATACATAGAAAATTCCAGACTGTCTGGGGATATGTGATATCTATCTAAAATAAAATAATAAACCGGCCAGGCAGTGGTGGCTTAAGCCTTTAATCCCAGCACGCGGGAGGCAGAGCCAGCCCGATCTCTGTGAGTTCAAGGCCAGCCTGGGCTACAGAGCGAGTTCCAGGAAAGGCTCCAAAGCTACACAGAGAAACCCTGTCTCAGAAAAAAATAAAAATAAAAAAATAAACCATTAAAAATGTTTAAAAAAAAAAGGGCAGAGTATGCTGTCTATCAATGTTAGTGTTTTAGAGGCCGGGGCAAGAGGATCCAGAGCAGCAGGGAGTTCAAGGCCACTTGAGCTTCTTGGGGATCAGTGTCAAAAGAACAGAAGGTGCTACATCCCGTACACAGTGGTTTGTTTCTCCTCTCCCCTCAGTGATCCTCAGCGCCGGCTGCGCTGGCTTTATTTTCTGTATGAAGTGGTACTGACGGCTCAGGCCATGGCTCAAGTATTACTCTCTTCTTCTTCTTTTTTTTTTTAATAATAATAAACTGGTCTAGTCTATTTGGTATTTGGTGTTCTATATACTTCTTTTAGGGTTTACTCTGTGTAGCTTTGCGCCTTTCCTGGGACTCACTTGGTAGCCCAGGCTGGCCTCGAACTCACAGAGATCCGCCTGGCTCTGCCTCCCGAGTGCTGGGATTAAAGGCGTGCGCCACCACCGCCCGGCTAATTCTTTTTTTTTAGATTTATTTATTTATTATGTATACAGCATGCATGACTGCAGGCCAGAAGAGGGCACCAGATCTCATTACAGGTGGTTGTGAGCCACCATGTGGTTGCTGGGAATTGAACTCAGGACCTCTGGAAGAGCAGCCAGTGTTCTTAACCTCTGAGCCATCTCTCCAGGCCACTCTCTTCTTAATATATTGGGGCAGGGGCTCTCATTTGAACTCAGAGCTCACCAGTTTCACTAGTTTTGCCCTGAGGAGTCCCCCATCAATGCCTCCCCCACGCATTGCTGGGATGGCAGGAAGGGTACCATACCTGCCCATCATTTACACGGGAGCTGGGGATTCAACTCAGCTTTTTTTCCCATGCATATGGGGCAAGTGTTTTACACACTGAACCATCACCCAAAATGCAGAACTTCTTTACATGATGGCTGGGTTTCGTGCCTGTCAACTTGACCCAAGCTAGAGCCATTTTGGACGAGGGAAGCTCAACAGAGAAAATGACCCACTAGATTGGCCTGTGGGGTATTTTCTCGATTGAGAATTGATTTGGGGGGTCCCAGCTCACTGTGGGTGGTGCCACCCCTGGGCTGGTGGTCCCAAGCACTATAAGAAAGCAGGCTGAGCAAGCTGTGAAGAGCAAGGTGGTGAGCAGCATGCTGGCTCCGCGGCCTCGGCATCAGTCCATATCTCCAGGTTCCTGTCATGGTCTCCCTCAGTGACGGACTTAAAAGCTGTAAGGTGAAATAACAACTTTCCTTCCTAAGTTGATTTTGGCCACAGCATTTTATCACAGTAATAGAAACCCTGAGAGAGAGCTAGAGGGAAGCAGGGGAAAAGAGAGAAAGAGACAAAGCACACTTATGGTGGGAGCCATAATTGTCTTTTTTTCCCCCTGTTTTAAGACAAGGTCTCTTGCTGGGCGGTGGTGGCACAGGCCTTTAATCCCAGCACTCAGGAGGCAGAGGCAGGCGGATCTCTGTGAGTTCGAGGCCAGCCTGGGCTACAGAGTGAGATCCCAGGAAAGGCGCAAAGCTACACAGAGAAACCCTGTCTTGAAAAACCAAAAAAAAAGGGGGTGTTGAGTGTGCCCGGGGGTCAGGGTGTGTGTAGGGGAGGGGTTGAGGCCGGAGGAGCCGGGAGTGGGACCCAGCGCCGCTGTGTGGAGATGGGACCCAACGCGTGCAACCGGCGCACGCCGGAACCCGCCTCCTGTCGCACGTGCTCCAGCCGGCAAAACCCACGGTGACTCCAAGAAAATGGCTCCTCCCCCAAAGGAGGTGGAAGAAGACAGTGAAGATGAAGAAATGTCAGAAGATGAAGAAGATGACAGCAGTGGAGAAGAGGTTGTAATCCCTCAGAAAAAAAGGCAAGAAGGCTACCACAACTCCAGCAAAGAAGGTAGTTGTTTCACAAACAAAAAAGGTTGCAGTTCCCACACCAGCTAAGAAAGCTGTTGCTACCCCTGGCAAAAAAGGCAGCAGCCACCCCAGCCAAGAAGGCAGTTACACCAGCTAAAGCGGCATCTTACCTGGTAAGAAGGGAGCTATCAATCACTCCAGCCAAGGATGGAATGGTAAGAAGGAAGACAGTGATGAGGATGAGGATGATGAGGAAGAGGATGACAGTGAAGATGAAGATGATGAGGAAGAGGATGAATTTGAGCCACCAGTAGTGAAAGGAGTGAAACCATCTAAAGTAGCTGCTACTGCTCCGGCCTCAGAGGATGAGGATGAAGACGAGGATGAGGAAGATGACGATGAAGAAGCAGCTATGGAGATCACACCTGCTAAAGGAAAGAAAGCTCCTGCAAAACTTGTTCCTGTGAAAGCCAAGAATGTGGCTGAAGAGGAGGAGGAGGAGGATGACGATGATGAAGAGGAGGAGGAAGAAGATGAGGAAGAGGAAGAAGAGGAAGATCCTGTTAAAGCAGCACCTGGAAAATGGAAGAAGGAAATGACCAAACAGAAAGAAGTTCCTGAAGCCAAGAAACAGAAAGTGGAAGGCTCAGAATCAACTACACCCTTCAGTCTATTCATTGGAAACCTTAATCCAAACAAGTCTGTTGCTGAATTAAAAGTTGCCATTAGTAAACTTTTTGCTAAAAATGATCTTGCTGTTGTGGATGTCAGAACTGGTACAAATAGGAAATTTGGTTATGTGGCCTTTGAGTCAGCTGAAGAAAAGGCCTTGGAGCTCACTGGTTTAAAAGTGTTTGGCAATGAAATTAAACTTGAAAAACCAAAAGGAAGAGATAGTAAGAAAGTTCGAGCTGCAAGAACACTTTTAGCAAAGAACCTTTCTTTCAACATCACTGAGGATGAATTAAAAGAAGTGTTTGAAGATGCCCTGGAGATCAGATTGGTTAGCCACGATGGGAAGAGTAAAGGGATTGCTTATAGTGAATTTAAATCTGAAGCTGATGCAGAGAAGAACTTTGAAGGAAAGCAGGGGGCAAAGATTGATGGGCGATCTGTTTCACTCTACTACCCTGGGAGAAGGGACAAAGGCAAGAAAGAGCTGGAAAGAATAGATAGCACTTGGAGTGGTGAACCAAAAACTTTGGTTTTAAGTAACCTTTCCTGTGGTGCAACAGAAGAAAGTCTTCAGGAAGTGTTTGAGAAAGCAACTATTATCAAAGTGCCCCAGAACCCACACGGCAAATCTCAAGTGTATGCATTTATAGAATTTGCTTCATTTGAAGATGCTAAAGAAGCTGTAAACTCCTGTAATAAAATGGAAATTGAGGGCAGAACAATCAGGCTGGAGTTACAAGGACCCAGGGGATCACCTAATGCAAGAAGTCAGCCATCCAAAACTCTGTTTGTCAAAGGTCTGTCTGAGGATACCACTGAAGAGACATTAAAAGAATCATTTGAGGGCTCTGTTCGCGCAAGAATAGTCACTGACCGGGAAACTGGTTCCTCTAAAGGGTTTGGTTTTGTAGACTTCAATAGTGAGGAAGATGCCAAAGCTGCCAAGGAGGCCATGGAAGATGGAGAAATTGACGGGAACAAAGTTACCTTGGACTGGGCCAAACCTAAGGGTGAAGGTGGCTTTGGTGGCCAAGGTGGAGGAGGTAGAGGAGGTTTCGGAGGCCGAGGTGGTGGCAGAGGAGGAAGAGGCAGCTTTGGTGGCAGAGGCCGGGGAGGCTTTGGAGGTCGAGGAGGCTTCCGAGGTGGCAGAGGAGGAGGAGAAGGGGGAGACTTCAAGCCACAAGGAAAGAAGACGAAGTTTGAATAGTTCCTTCCATCCCAATTTTTCCCGATTCATTTTAAAGAAAGGACTCTGGGGTTTTACACTGTTACCTGTTAAATGACAGAGCCTTTTAAAGGACATTTCAAAAGATTTTTTTTCCTACAATTAATTTTTTTTTGCATTGGGGGTTGTAAAAGAATGTTTATCATGTTTTTTGCTTCAGTGACTTTAAGACAAATTAAAAGTCCTAAACTCTAAAAAAAAAAAAAAAAAAAAAAAAAAAGACAAGGTCTCACTCTGTAGATTAGGGTGGCCTCAAATTCACAACCTTCATGCCCTTGATTACAGTGTGTACCAGCACGCCCAGCCCCTGCAGTCTTTAAAAAAAGAACCAGGATTTCTCTGTGTAGCCCTGGTTGTTCTGGAACTCACTCTGTAGATCAGGCTGGTCTCAAACTCATAGAGATCCACCTGCCTCTGCCTCCTGAGTGCTGGGATTAAAGGTGTGTGCTGCCGACACCACCACCAGCTGGCTCCTGCAGTTTTTCTGAACACTAATCTCACAGGTGACCCCTCTTTTGGAACAACCCAGCCTCCGAGTAGTTGAGCTGGCCGTGAAGTGCAGCGAGGCTGAAGAAAGAGAGGTAAATCTAGGACCGCACGTGGTACAGTTTAGTGGCGTCCTAAGGACAGAAGCTCCATCCTGGGAAACAGCAAGAGCAAGACCAGTGGATCTCTGCTAAGTCAGAAGGAGATACGAGTATATTACTCCAAACAACAGTGACTTTTTCCAAGCTGGACTCTACCTGGTTTATCATGTCAAAGACATCCAACACATCCTGGTGTTGAGGCTGCCAAGATCTAGTCAGAAGCTACATGTAGCGCTCTAACAGCTTTGCCCACTTAAATTATGCTGGAAAACCATTTGGGAGAAACTGGCAGGATTCTTCTGGGCCAGTCATGGTGGTCATATCTCCAGATGGCTGCAATAAGGTCAAGCTGAATCCCTACAACATGTTATCATGTCTCTCATGTTATATTTGTTAGAAGTAAGTCACTAAATCCAGGCTACACTTGGGGAGATTATACAATATCACAAACACCTAGAGATGGATTAATCTGTGTCTTTTTTTTTTCAGAGTTGAGGACCGAACCCAGGGCCTTGCGCTTGCTAAATCCCCAACCCCTAATCTGTGTCTTAATCTTAACCACTGTTCTGTTGCTGTGAAGAGACATCATGACCAAGGCAATTGCTTTTGTTTTTTTTTTAAGGTTTATTGTTCTGCCTGCATGTATCCCTGCAGGCCAGAAGAGGGCACCAGATCTCGTTACAGATGGTTGTGAGAATTGACATGTGGTTGTGGGGAATTGAACTCAGGGCCTCTGGAAGAGCAGCCAGTGCTCTTAACCTCTGAGCCATCTCTCCAGCCCAAGGATGGTTGTGAGAATTGACATGTGGTTTCGGGGAATTGAACTCAGGACCTCTGGAAGAGCTACCAGTGCTCTTAACCTCTGAACCATCTCTCCAGCCAAAAGCAACTGTTATAAGAGAAAGTATTTCATTGGGGGCTCCCTTACAGTTTCAGAGGTTTAGTGCATTATCATCATGGCAGGAAGCATGGCAGCATGTAGGCAGACATGGTACTGAAGAAGCTGAGAGTTACAACTTGATCCACAGGGCAGAGAGAGACTGGGACTGGCGTAGGCTGCTTTTGAACCCTCAAAGCCCACCCCTGGTGACATAACTTCCTCCAACAAGACCATACCTCCTAATCTTTATAATCTGTCAAATAGTGTCACTCCCTGGTGACTAAGCATTCAAATCTATGAGCTTGTGGGGACTGTTCTAGTTCAAACCACCACAATCAAGGGCCATTTTTCTACTTTGTGTGTGTGTGTATGTGTGTGTGTGTGTGTGTGTGTGTGTGTGTGTGTGTGTGTGTGTTTCTGTGTGACCACAGATGTCTGAATAGGGCATTGGATCTCTTGTAAGTGATGTTACAGACAGTTGTGACCCACCTGCTGTAAGTGTTGGAAACTGAACTTGAGTCTTCTGTAAAAGCAGTTCACACCTTTAACTGCTGAACAAAAAATATACTACAGAATCATGAGTCAGTATGGGATTGTGCATTTTCCTGATAACAATTTAGAGCAAGGGGCAGAGAAGAGATACTTGCATATTTGTTTACTGTCCATTCATGCATGAAGAATCTGCAGTCTTCACACTACACCTTTCCTGCTCAAGTGTGGGAATCATTTCCATATTATCATTTATTATTTTTCATTTTAACATAATATTTTAATTCTCTGAGAATTTCATACATGCACGAAATGCATTTTGCTTATATTCACCCCCACTCCTGTTCCTAGCTCCTCCCAGACCCACCCCCTTATTCCCTTCCTCTAGATCCTATTATGGTTAGTTGGTTTTTTGTTTTGTTTTTTGATTTTTTTTTTAAAACAGAGCCTTGGCCAGGCTGTGGTGGCACACGCCTTTAATCCCAGCACTCGGGAGGCAGAGCCAGGTGGATCTCTGTGAGTTCGAGGCCAGCCTGGTCTACAGAGCGAGATCCAGGACAGGCACCAAAGCTACACAGAGAAACCCTGTCTCGAAAAACCAAAAAAAAAAAAAAAAAATTTAAAAAAGAGCCTTACTGCATTGCCCGGTGTGCTTTCAAACTTCTCTGCTCATGTGATCCTCCTGCCGCGGCTCCCAACTATCTGGAATTAGAGTTCTGGGCCACCATGCTCAGCTCCCAAGTGCTAACTTGATACATCTTTCTACAAGCGCGGAGCAGTATTCTACTTGCTTCTTGAATTGTTTGTATTAGAAAAATATAGATCTTCTTGCCTCTATGGGTCCCTTGTACCATTTACTTATTTACTTGCTAGTTTTTCTTTCTTGTATATTTATTTATTATGTATAGTATTCTGTCTGCATGTTTGCCTGAACACCAGAAGAGGGCACTAGATCTCATCTTGGATGATTGTGGGCCACCATGTGGTTGCTAGGAATTGAACTCAGGACCTCTGGAACAGCAGCCAGTGCTTTTAACCTCTAAGCCATCTCTCCTGTCCCTGTTTTTGGTCTTTCAAGACAGGATTTCTCTGTGTTAACAGTCCTAGCTGTCCTGGAATTAGTGCTGTAGACCAGACTGTCCTCGAACTCACAGAGATCCGCCTGCCTCTGCCTCTGCCTCCTGAGTGCTGGGATTAAAGGTGTGCGCCACCACCGCCCAACACTTTTATTTATTTTGAGTTACATCATTACAAGGATGCATGCTCCACTAGGTAGTCCATAGATAATGGCCACCAGTGACTCAGAATCTGTTGTTTTGTAGCTTAAGACCACAAAAGCCTGACTCGGAGTCTACAGGGAAATATGGTCAGTGCTTCGTTTTCTGGTGCAGTTCAATTATCTATGTGAATTTGTTCCAAGGAAACGGATAACAGCACTATGCCCTTTCCTGAATCTTTCCACAGTATCTCTGTATTTGTAGCAAATAGATGTTCTGAATATTTTCCACATATTCTTAATCCTCAAGAGCATCCATAAAGTAGGTTGATGTAGTGTTTGTCTCTATTTTTCCAGATGTAGAATCCTCATATGCAGAGAGCTTGAATCATTTGCCTGAGGCCACACGAGTGACTAAGTGACCAAATTGTGACTGGAACCTACTTGAGTCCATACCGGTCAGGTTGTACTTTTGTTTGTCTTTCTTGGTGCATTTTGTTTGGTTGGTTGGTTAGGTTTTTTGTTGCTGTTGCTTGTTTTTTTTTTTTTTTCTTTTTTCTTTTTTTGGTTTTTCGAGATACGATTTCTTTGTAGCTTTGGTGCCTGTCCTGGAACTCACTCTGTAGTCCAGGCTGGCCTTGAACTCACAGAGATCCACCTGGCTCTGCCTCCCGCGTGCTGGGACCACCACCCGGCTCCCCTAAATTTTTTGTATGTATGTATGCATGTATTTGCTGTGTGTGTGAGTGTGTGCGTGCCACAGCACACATGTGGAGGTCAGAGGACAACTTGCAGGCTATCTGTTCTCTCCTTTCACCAAGTGAGTTTTGGGGATTGAACTCAGGCAAGATGACAAGTGCTGAACTATCTGGATGGTCCTCTGTCCAATCTTTAATCTTCAAATTGACTTATGAGCCTGCCTTCTTTCCTCCCACCCTCCCTCCCTTCATTTTCGTCTTCTCATTCTTTCTCTTTTTACAAAAGATCTCTCCATGTAGTCCAGACTGATAGTCCTCCGCTATCAGTCTCGTGAGTGGCCACTGCTCCAGGCTTGATTTTTTTCCCCTGTGGCTTCTGCATCCCTTTTCATCAATCCTGGCTCCTTTTCCTGGCTCCAGAAAAGGCCTGACAGCACACTGCCCCGCAGTTTTGCAGCTTCTTCTTGTTTGACCTCACGGCTTGATATGCCTCAAGGATTACTCTTGGTGGCAGTGTTGCCCTAGAAACTGGAAACGCTTTGCAAGCCTTCACCCCCCTCCTCAAATTGATGTTCTCTTTTCCCACCCTCCGGGTCTGAAAAAAATGCCAGGAAAGCAGGCAGGCTGGGGGTGGGGGCGTGGGGGGGATGGGAGACAGGCTGCCTGCCAGTAGGAGGGCAGCTCCGGAGGATAGCAGCTTTGTTCCTTTCCATTTGAAATCATTACAGATCCTGGCTGCAGAGCCTCCTAGGGCGTCTTTTGTAGAGCTGCATTGTCCTTTGTTAGAACCCAGTAGGTGTCCCTGTGATCAGGTGGGCAGATTGATTAAGGAAGCTAGTCTCAGTGCAGAAGACCACAAATACTGGGACCGCAAGGCCTGCAAGAAGGCATCAGGGCCACCCAGCCCCAAGGTCCAGGGCCTCCACGCCTTCCAACTTCCACGTGTCCACTGCTATTTGATGACCCCAGACAGTAGGCCAGTGGTCCTCAAAGTGGGGTCCTCAAGCAGACTGCATCTGCATTTTGGGGGAAGTTTTTTACTGACACAGCTTCCCAGACTCCAGCTTCTGCCTTCTAAATAGACAATATGTGGATGGACAGTGCCCCGCAAGGGACTCTGATGGGTGCCAAAGTCAGAAGCCCCCTGTGCTAGCACAGGTAGAGTCAAATAATCACAAGCCCTCATAGGCCCATGACTTCACTACACAAACACTGTTCACACAGAGAGGCACACCTCCAGGAAAAGTGTCTGTGTCCCTGTGAGCTTAATTCCCATGCCTGCCCTGTTAGAACTGAAAAACAAAGGCTACATCTTAGAAA